CTCTCTCTCTCTCTCTCTCTCTCTCTCTCTCTCTCTCTCTCTCTCTCTCTCCTTCTCTCCCCTAAAACGCTCCCAAACCTATCAATTGAATGTCAGTCCATATGCATAATTTCTCTTCTCTCTTAACTGTCCTTGGCATGCCATGCTCTGTTGCTGGCAGGATTTAGGAAGAAAAAAGTTTTAACTGAAAACATTGAATTGATAGAGATACTTACAATCTCTGTCATGGATAAATGGAGGAGCTCATTAACTCTCCAAATCATTAATTTAAAAAAAGCGTGATAGCATCATGAAGAGTGGACCAAAACACTACCTCTCCCCGTCCAAGAAAAAAAGTAGTCTGATGAGCAAACCAATTATAGCACCACACTGTAAACTAGATCGCCTGGGGACAGCACTTTACCATGCCAATTACACTGTGTAGACAGATGCTTCTGATTGCGAGGGAGCCTGGCTGCTCATTAAGGAAAGTTCTGTAGGACTCCTGCTAGAAAACACTTTGCAAAAACTATTAAGAGTCACTACCTTGGCATATTAGTAGGAACTCTTAATTAAAGCTTGTACACCAACTCCTGGTCTGCCAGCAGACTCCAGTCATGTCTAACAGGTGTTCACTCCGTCCTTGCCATATGGAGTTCCCAAGGATGGCAGACTCTCTGGTGTGCCCATGCACTTCTGGCCTTCTGTTTGAGAGACATGCTTACCAGAATCACTGGGCCTAATTACAGAACTGTTTATGCCATTGTGCCCACCATATGAATTTATATATGATATAAACTGATGGAAGATGAATATCAGTTTACCCTTGCTAGAAAAAAAAATAAACCAAAGGCTTACCAAAAAAGTTGACAATGACAAGCAGCAAAAATACTTTTCCTGTCTTAATGTGGTAAGCCTGTAAAACTCTACTCTGAACTCAAGATTTCTGAGTATCTTAGTAGAAGATAAATCTGGAAAAGTGTGTGTGTGTGTGTGTGTGTGTGTGTACGTGTGTGTGTGTGTCAAAAAAAAGACAAAGGGGAATCTAACCAAAGGATTTTAGATTCTGACAATGCGTAATAAGGTTGGAGATGCTAAATGGTTTTTATCTCTCAATGAATGTCATTCCAATTACTAACTCTTTACTCTATCAACTACTAACCTCAGTTATATTCAACAGACAGGCTCCTACCACTCTTTAAAATGTGTGCTATGAGCCTTTCATTCACTAGGACAAACCTTTCTCTCCAGCTGTAGAACTGTGAAAGAGCAGCAGTTGCCTCAGGTAATGTTAACCCCGGCTCCTCAGTCAGACTTGAGGCTTGGGAGCTTTGAGAATGCTGTCAGCACACTAGCCTGTGCTCCTGGGTAACAATCTATGGTTTAAAAGTTTTCAAGAGCATCAGGAAGTAGGGGTGGGGTGAGAGATACTTAGTATTGGCTGCACAGGCATGAGGACTTGAATCCCTAAATGTCAGGGGTAATCTGAGTATGGTGCACAAAGAATCCAGGGGCTCACGAGCCAGCCAGTCTAGCTAATCAGGAAATTCTAAATCCAGTGACAAACCACATTTCAAAAAGGAAGATGGAGAAGTGATGGAGAAAGACATTGCCATGCCAACCTCTGATCTCCTTATGCACTTGCATGGATGGGGACACACACACACACACACATAAACCTGCACACACACATGAAATGAAAATTCTAAGTCACACATTCTGCCCTGCAAGTTGAAAGTATAAATATAAAAATGAGAAAATTCCCTCATCCTTTGGTATTAGGAGATTAAACCTGACTTCTCTTCTGGACCAATACACACACACACATGCACATATACACATACACACACATACACACAAACACATATACACACAAGTCATATGTTTCTTCTCCAAACTCTGAGAATAAAATGCTTCTATTCTTAGACAAACAACATTGAAAATACAATTATCTTACAATGTAAGCATTTTAGCATGTTCACTTTAAAGGTTCTCCTTAATCCATTGCTTTTAAGCTCATCTCATCCCCGACCCCCCCAAATAAAACCACAGGAAACTGTCAGCTCCCACAAAGAACACACGGATTGTGGCAGGTGTGAGGCTCTTTCCAAGACATGCATGGGCTTTGGGCTCTATTCTCTAGTTACAGGAGTCTTTCAGAGTGTTGTAATTTTAAAAATCATTTATAAACATGTAGCTTTCTTCCCTAACAAGTGTGCTCACATTGGCTTCATTAGATGCTAAAGAGCCTGCTAGACTCCTTCCTTGAGAATGAAGTAGATTCTAGAGGAATGCATGGTGGGTAACAATCTATAGAAAACCTATTTTATTAAGACTTTTTCAAGGGAGGGGGCAGGGACAGGCCTGCTTTCATAAGTGGTACCGCAGACTGCTAATATGCCCAAAATAAAAAAAAAAAAAGAATGACATATAAAGACACATTTTCTTCTCTAGCCTCTAAAGGGTGTACGGCAGCAGGCAGTTTAATGACATCTTCATAGTGCTTTCGGTAATTTACCATGCTCCGGCTGGCATGCAGCTGTAAAAGTCACAGTGGTTAAGCATAATAATATAAAAGCCTTACACAGACTTGCAATGGCTCTCTTGCTGTGAAGGAACATGTGCTATAAAAAGCTTGAACATGCTTATTTTCCAGGCAAGCATCAGCCACTACACAATACAATATGAAATTTTCCACAGTGTTGTTCCCAGGCCCTGTCTGACCACTCAATAATGAAGCATAAGACTGCATATGCTCATAGCTTAGCAGGTGAAGCTGGGCCTATTAAGATAGTTGGTATCTACCATACTGTCTGGAGGGGACACAGGCACATTCTGCCTTCCTTGCCTAAAAGCATGTTACTGGACCAAAAGAAGGAACTCTCATGGCATACCAATGTAAGAACCATATCCACTGAAGACAGCCTGGAGGCTTGCCAAGGCAAGGGCAGCTTATCACTTGCTCAGTGGCTTTCAGTCTGTCACCCCTTCCTACATAACATGACAGATACTTATTTTATCAAAGCCTTGACTGTTTGGGGGAAACTATGACAGCAGAAAGGAGAGCTGTCCCTGAAGACCCAGCTTATTTTTGCAAACCCCCTCTTCTCCTGCCTGAGTGGCATGTTGTCTTCTGGAGTTTGCAGTAAACTGACAAACTTTGGAAAGTGATTTTTGAAATTTGGGATAACTGTCGCCAATTTGTTTCTCTTAAAAATCAGCCTACTGTTTCTATAAACAAGACAGATAGATGGCATATTTGAGAGATTCATCATGCATTATTCTCCCCCAAATGTCCATGTGTTCTTCCACAGTCTCCCTGTTCAACCAGATGCAGACAATACTTCAGGTCCAAGAGAGAACCACTACAAAAATTTAACTCAGCTCTTTGGCCCTTCCAAGGAGGGAATCTGGAGGAACTCTTGGCTAGTGGGTGAGTTGTCTCTGCCCTCTGAAGAGAGAAAGGTACTCTGGACCAGGGAGATGTCACAGGGTAAAGAAACAGAAAGGAAATGGAGTACTTCTGAGTCCTTGGAAGTAGCCAAGATGCTGGAAGGCGGTCCCAGAGAAACAACATTTAGAATTCCAAGAGGGCTCAGAGCAGGTCTGCGCTTTCTTTCTAAGACAAAGCAAAGTGCAGAAACACACATCTTCTGTGTTCATCTGTAGAAGGGCCTTCAAGTGGTATGTAAACACATGTACCCCAGAGAGTTCTAGATTATCCAGGGTCCTGTGTGAGCCTCACCTAAACATCAATGTCTCAAGAGAGGCCTGCAGGACAGTGGATGCAACCAGATAGCTTTCCAGCAATCTTAGAGAGAACTAGGATCACTTCCCTTGTGAGTTAGCATCCAACATCTACCTGCACACAGCGGTAAACACCCACCAACTGTGCCAGCACATGAGCATTGTGTAGTCCTAGTCTCTTCCATGTGGAAGCTGGGGAAGCAGATATTAAACCAAAAAGATGTGTGTGCATGGATGCAGTATAAATGCGTGCTTCTAACCCCTTAAATTGAGATGGATTCTGCCTTAGGGTGTCTATTGCTGTGAAGAGACACCGTGAGCAAGGCAGTTCTTATAAAAGACATCATTTAATTGGGGTTAGCTTACATGTTGAGCAGCTCAGTCCGTTATCATCATGGCAGAAAGCATGGCAGCATCCAGGCA